GGGGCCAGCCCCAGGGGCCGGGCCCACAGCTGGCACCGGCAGGAACGGCGCAGGAGCATCTCCAAAGAGATGCCTGCAACCTGCGATGGCGGCAGAGCAGAGCATGCAGAGGGCCACTGTCCCCCTACTGTGATCCTCCCGCCTCTGCGTCGGCTCCAGCTAGGCACGGGGCAGATCCCCTCTGCCCCCCGCAGCCCCTGCCTGCTTGCCTGCCCCCTTCCCAAAGCCGTGCCCATGTGGGGCCAGCATAGGGTGGCAGGGAGAGGGTGGCCACAACTGCTCCATCCCCACCACGAGCCCTCCCTGCCGCTGACATGGCCCAAGCTGCCCCAGGCCGCTCTGCTCGGCCAAGCCCGGGAGGGGAGCAGGGCAGGCGTGCGGCAGAAGGCGCAGGAGGTGAGCTAGGGCACCTGCAGCAGACTCGGGCACAGTGGGCACGGCAGGGGCAGGCTGCGAGCCCCCACCTGGCCCCGCATCCCCTGAGCCCCCTCCCAGGCACCATGGGGCACGGACGGAGTGGGGCACCGAGCCGGGGCAGCTGCCCTAGGAGCCCAAGGCACTGCCCTGTCCTCATGCCGCACCCGCGGCTGTGCCACAGCTCTGCCCCACAGCAGCAGGATGAGTCCCGCGTCCAGCCCGGCTGTGACTCATCCGGGAGCCCGGACTCCTCCTGGTGCTGGCCGGCAGTCCAGGACGGGGAGAGCGGGCGCAGGGGTGATGGATGCTCTGCTGACACTTCCTCTGTGTGGGGAGAGATGGATGCACCCCAAGCCAGGGGTGAAGGTGGCTGCCAGCTGCCACTGCCCGGCCCCCAGCCCAGCCCCTTCCCAGGGCAGGGCACCGGCCAGGAGCCACGGCCCGCAGGCATCACCCACCACCGTGCTCAGGCCCCTGCGGGTTTCCCTGGGGGAGGCAAGGCAAGATACATGGCACGACCTGGTCACGACGTAGCTGGGGCAGACGGGAGCGCTTGGGGGTGCTGCCTGTGCCAAGGGCCAGCCTACGTGCACCTCTGGGGCGTCTCAAAACCCCCTGTACCCTGGCTGCTGCTCTCGCAACGCTGGGAGAAAGAAGAGGTAACTTAAGTCCTCCCCCAGGATTTGCTCCCTGGGTTCCAGTGCAGGACCGGGGGCAGGAAAGGTCTCTGCTGGCGCACACCCGCAGCCTGCGGGCAGCTGGCCAGTGCCTGGTGGGGCGGGTGCACCCACGCAGAGGACTGAGCCCGGGGTGACGGCACCCCAGGCAGAGCTCCGGCCCGGGGCAGCGGCTGACAGCCCAGCTGGGGCACCATCCCCAGCTCACAGCGGGGCTGGGGCCCTTTTTGCGCAGCCCCGGCAGCCGTCGGTGTGCAAGCACCGGTGCTGTGCACCCCCCGGTAGCCATGCGACTGCCTCTGGTCTGCCTCATCCCATGGCAGGTGGTCACTCGCTCCCCGGTGACTCACGCTCCGGACACGCTGACTCAGCTTTTGCACTGGTTTCCAGCAATTGCTGCTAATGGGAGCCATCTCGGTAATGGCTCTGGAGACGCAGCCAGGAGAGCGGATGGTGCGTGGGGAACTGGATGGCACCAGTCACCATCTGCCCCGGCCCAGGCGGGACCCCCAGAGAGCTGTGCCACAGGGAGCAGCCCTGACACCAGCACCTGGAGGACTGGCAGCACCAGGCACCCGATGCCCCCAGGGCCCTGGCACCCAGTGCTGAGCCCGGCAGGACTGGCACCGCGCACGCCCGGGACTCGGCCAAGCAGAGAGCACATGCCCCACAGCAGTGGGGTGGACGCCTCCCCATCCTGGCTGTGGGGTGCCCACAGAGCCTGGCTCTGTGCTTGGGGTGCCAGGGCACAACGGAGCTGTGGGCCAGGCTATGAGGATGGGAGTGCAATGGCAGGGCTGGGGGCACGCAGTTGGTGCTGGGAGGGGGCCTCGCCTGGGCACAGGCAGGACCACAAATGGAGCAGCCGGCAGCGCCGGTGCACCGGGAGAAGCTGCCAAGGCGCCCCGGCTGCCCGTGGCCCCACGCTGCCCCGGGGAAGCAGCACATACCTGCTGGATCTTGGACCAGTTCTCTGCTGCCGACAGACCGTTCATTGCCCCTGTGATGGCAAGGAAGCAGCCAAGGAAACATGGTGCAAAGCCCCCCTGCAAGAGAGGAGTTGGGGCCCAGCGCCAAGGAGCCTGTGGCGCTTGGAGCCAGGCCCACAGCATGGGGCGAAGGGAGTGCGTGGCGGGGCGGGGGGCAACAGGACCAGCTTGCCTTTTGCCCTGGGGCTACTCGGCCTCCTGCTCCCCAGCACAGAGCCACATGGAGGGACGGGCAACCATGGGGCCTCTGGAAGGGTCCAAGACCAGGCCAAGGGCAGCCCCTCTACAACCCTGTCCGTCCCAGCCCTCCAGAGCATCGGGGCTGGCCCCAGCCTCAGGAGAAGGGCAGGAGCCAGGGCAGCACGGGGGTCCCTGTCCCCAGGACCCCGCCTCCGCAGCGGGGACACCAGGGATGGCACTGCCCAGCCTCCCATGCTCTGCTTCAGAGAAGGGAGACGGCAGCTCTCAACAGCCTCAGAACAGCGGCAGCAAGGGTAAAGCATGGATTCCTCACAGCTCCCTGCAGCTCCCCACGGATCCCCCGAGCAGAGATGCTCTGGGCTGCAGGGCTGAGCCGCCTGGTGCCCCAGGGCCTGCGTGCTGCAGCCCAGCAACTCCGCAGAGCAGGTCCTGGGCACCATCCCCTGGCACCACCCAAGCGGGGGTGCTCGGAGAGGGACGGAAACTTGCCCACGGTCGCATGGCTGCACCTACCACCCCGTTCTGCTGCACCAGCCCCGCACAGGCACCCTCACCACATGGCACTGACCTGGTCCAGGACCATCTTCTTCACAGCCACAACTTTTGTAGTCCCTGGGACGAGCTGATCCAGGATCTTGTACCAGCCGCCCACAACAGGGCCCTGCAGGAGCCGGGTGGTGAGGGGCAGCGTCCTGCTCGCCCAGGCCACGGGGCGTCAGGGCTTGGGGGTCCCCAGAGCTGGTTACACGGCCCTGCCCCAGCCCTGGGACACAGGGACGGGGGCCTGTCCTGCCCCCTCCTGGGATGTGCCGCTCCCTTGCTGGGCCTCACACCGCCGTGGGGCAGCCCCCCCATGTAGAGTGGACGCAGGGACGCCCGCAGCCCTCCCTGCCCCTCCTAGAGCGCACCGCCAGGCAGCACCAGCACAGGGCAGCCAGGGCCCTGCTCCAGCAGGGCAGCCACAGGGCTTCACGCCCGATACACCGGGCAGGACTTCGTGGTGGGGGGACCCCAGCTGTGCCAGCGCCGCCCAGGGCCCTCCCTACCCGAGCCACCAGTGCAGGGCACTGGGTCCAGCACCTGCCCACCCAGAGCACAGGAGCTGATGGGTCAGGATCCGGCCTCGTCACACACAGCAGAGCAAAGCACATTTGCACCCTTGGATGGGGAGTCACCCTCCTGCCAAGTGAAACCTCCCCAGGGGCTGGCACCAGCAGCAGGGATGGGCCCGGGGGCCCGGGCTGCACGAACAGCGGCTGCTGGCCCCGTCCCACCCCGTAGCACAGCCAGGGGTGCCCACACCCGCAGCTGAGTGCAGGAACAGGCGCTCCTCCTTGAGGGGACCTGGCTCTGTCCACGGCTGCTGGAGGTGGCACCAGGATGGCCCAGCTCACACCCAGGCACCACAGCCTCACCCTGCCAAAGCAGCCCTCCATCCCAGCCCTCCATCCCAGCCCACCACACACATGCTGCAGAGCCCGCGCGCCCACGGTGCACCGGCACTCACCACAAAGCAGAAGCCGATCGCCATCATCTTCAGGGTCCGGGGGACGTGGTGCCCATGCAGCCCCCGCCGCTCCACCAGCTGCTGCGCGATCACGTCTCCAGCTCCCATAAGCGCCCCTGTGACCAGCAGAGCCCGCTCAGGCGGCCGCGGCGCACTGGGGCAGGGTGAGAGCCCGGAGCGCCCTGACAACAGCTGCGTCCTCCGGCCCGAGCGCTGCCTCTGCCTGCCTGCGGCCCCGCTGCCCCTGGGAAGGCCTCAGCCTGCTCTGGCCCTGCGGGGTCCGTCCCGGCACGCCGCCCCCCTGCCGCCCTGCACCAAGCCTGCCCATGCCCGCTCTGCAGCACAGGCCCTCCCACGGTGGCCTTGGGCTGCTCTTGGGATGCCGTAGCGTCTCTGGCCAAAATAGTGCCTGGCTGCACGACCTCCCCACGCCCCTGACATGGCGCTGATCCGTCACCCAGGGCCCACAGTGCCTGGGGCCTCTGGGGCAGAGCCCACCTGGATGCTGCCCGCGCTGCCTGCTGCGGCCTCTCCCAAGCCCAGGCCTTGCGCTCCCCGAAACCTCCCCTAGCACCACGCAAACCCTGCCGACTACGGTCCCCTTCCTTGGAAAGCTGCTCTCCGCCTATGCCTCTCCTGCCCGGCAGCGCCGCTGCCGCCAGCAGCCAGGACAAGGCCAGTGAGCCTCGCTGGGTGCCAGGGCCGGCCCCAGCTCCTTGCTGCTGCCTGGCTGCTGGCATGGCTTCTTGCCTTGTTTCCATATCAGTGTGAGAGACCTGCTGTGCACGTCCCCTGCGGGGTGCCGCTCAGCTGGGCCTTTGGCAGCTCCCGCTCCATCCTACACCCTTGACCTCTTCGACGCAACTTGGCTGGCCCAGTGCTCCTTCCCCCGGCCTTTGCAGGCTCCCTGCTTGTTCCCCCTGCCCCTCCCAGGACGGTTGCCAGGCAGGTCTCCAGCCCCACTGTGATTCTGCTCCATTCTTGGAAACCCTGAACCCAACAAGCCCTCATCTCGGGGAGCGGTGTTCCCAGCGTCCCCCCTCCTCCCGGCACCGCCGGCTGCGGGCCAGCCCTCCCCAGACAGTCTCCACAAGCAGCTCCTCACCGCATGGTGGGCCGAGGACACTCAGGGTGGCACAGCCCTGGGTGCATCCTCAGCAGGGCCCAGCCCCTGCCACCAACTCCCTCTCTCCCAGGGCCATGGGTCTCTGTGACCGCCCCCAGCAGCACCGTGGGAAGCAGGTCCCAGCCCAAGAGCCGCAGACCCCAGGCTGCGCCAGGGGAGCGCGCCTGCCACCGCCCAGCGCCCGCAGCCGGATCGTGCCTTCCTGCGAGCACTGTCCCCAGATGGCACACACGAGGGGAGAGTTGTGGGCCTGGTTCCCCAGCCCCTCGCCCCAGCCACACAGACCAGGGCCACAGCATGGCCCCTAGGAGCCTGTGGGCACGGGCTGGACCTGGCCCAGCACAGCTGTGGTGGCCAGCAGAGCCTGGAGGTGGCCCAGGAGGCCAGGTGGGAGCCGGGGCCCCAGCCAAGGCCAGCGATCCAGGGCTGGACGTGCCCCGGCAGGGCTGGGAGGGCTGGCCCGGGCTCTGCAGCCCCACGGAGCTGCTGCGCTCCTGGCAGCATCTCCTGCCACCATCTCACTGGCTCCATCTCCCACCCCAGACCAACGCAGCCCCCAGGGGCTGAGGCTCTGCCCCCAGGCCCTAAGAGCCACTGCACCCCTCTGCAGCAGCAGAGCAGGCCCCAACAGCCCACGGGGCCGCCGCAGCGGAGGGGCATGGCATCGCAGCAGGCAAACAACCCCAGGCCAGCACGGCAGAAGCACTGGCTGCCTGCTTCCCACGGGCAGCCTTCCCACTAGGCACAGGCAGGCTCCCCCTGCACGGTGCTCATTGAGAAAGCGCAACCAGCACCGCCGGTGTTACTCATTCAGTGCCGAAGGCTCCGGGCGCGGTGCCCGGCGGTGACGAAGCAATGCCAGGGCTGCCGGGGGGGAAGGCCTGTCTGTGCACCCCTGCCTGGGCCGGGGAGCATGGCCGGATCAAGCCCCTTGCAAGGACTTCGCTCGCCCAGGCTGGCACCAGCGCCGCTTGCCACCCGCATGGTGCCTGCCCCAGGGTGACACCAGCACTGCCCTGCCACAGCTCCAGTGCGGGGCTGTAGCCCACAGCTGTGCCCCACGCCACAAACACAGGAACCAGCGCCTGGCCGACCCCACAGCTCTGCAGGGCCCTGCTGCCACTGCAGCGTCCTGCCCCGGGCTGGGAAGAGCCGACGCGCACGGCCCCACACCCACACAGGCGCGCTGGATGCAGCCGGCGAGAAGGGTGAGCGTTCCCCAGCTCGCAGCCACCCAAGCCCCGGGGAGGCACCTTCTTGCCTGCTCGGTGCAGAGCGGTGCGGCGGGCAGGCAGGAGGCAGCGAGCAGCGTGCTGCCCCCAGCCAGGCTGAGCCCGGGAGCCGGGGGGTGCCTGGCCGATCCCGCAGGCTGCTGCCCCTGCAGCCACAGGACTTTGAAGCAGGCCCAAGCCTAAGTAGGCCACACCGTCTGCATCCCCCGCGGGCCTCGGCGGCTGGCAGCTGGAGGCTGCATCGCCACCACGGGAGCGCAGGGCTGCTCTCCGCAGGCACGGACAGCAAGGTCACTGCCGCGGGCACGTGCTGCTGCCCGCTGTGCCCAGGCCCTGCCGGCATCCTGGCCTGGGATGCAGGAGGCAAAGCCCCGCCTGACCCTGCGGCCCTCCCCGCCAGGCAGGACAGGGATTCGGCAGGCGAGCGCAGCTGGACACACCAGGCGCAGCCAACTGCCAGCAAAACTCCCTGGCCTGGCCCCAGCTGGCGGCTCTGCTCCACTTGGGGGAACGGCAGCACCGGCGGGGCCCCCGGGCGAAAAAAAATGGGGGAACCGGCAGCCCGGGCGGCCCCGCGAGCAGCAAGCGAAGGCAGGGCTGGAATCTGCCCAGCCCTCCTGTGGCTGCCCAGCGCAGGCCAGAGGGCCCGGGAGAGCCTGCCTCCTCCGCACGGACCACAGCACGGCCAGCGGCGAGGGGCCGAGCCTGGCCTCGGACAGAGGAATTCCTTGCTAGAGCTACAAGGAGAGCAGGCAGGCTCGGCCTCCAGCAGCGCTGCCCCTGCCCCGGAGGAATGGCCGTGCTCCCACTGCCACAGCCTTGCACCATGGCACAGAGGCTGGGCCTGGGCCCCCACCACAGGCAGGGAGACATCCAGGACTGAAGGCAGAGCCTCTTCTCAGCCTCAGGAACCGCATCCAGCACTGGGCCGACCACTCGCACAGAGTGGCCGTGCCAGGCGGCTGTGCACCCCCACGGGCACGGTGAGTGCTCCCTGGGCCTGCCAGGGCCCCAAGGAACTGGGGGGCTGTGCCTCAGCGTGGCAGGGCCAGCTCCGACATGAAGAAGCAACAGGTAGAGCTGGAGCCCAGAGCCAGCCCAGGGCTGCGGGCTGCACCAAGCCTGCTACAGCAGCCGGCAGGGGCTGCCGGGGAGGGCGAGGGCTGGTCCTGGGCAGCCCTCCCAGCTCCACCTTGGCCTCCCTCCAGGAAGCGAGGAGAGGGATGCACAGCGCACAGTGCAGCAGGTGCCAGGCAATAGACTCCATCAAATCAGATAAAAATAACAGCGGGAACAGTGAGGTGGCCTGGCAGGACCCCAGCAGCCTGGCAGGCAGGGCAACGTGCCGCCACCCCCACAGGCAGCAAGGAGGAGGGCCAGCGGCCGCACACCATGTGGAGCCCCCCGGCGCCCACAATGGCTCCCCGGCACAGCAGGGCACCCCCAGACCCCACGGCTGTGCTTTTCCAGCGTCCTGGGCTGGCTACTTGCAAGCGGCAAAGCTGATGGAGGAGCAGTGGCAGCAGGCAAGGCTGCAGGCAGGGCGTGCTGAGGGGAGCATGCAGGGACCCCGCTCCCAGCCAGCCCGCACCCCTGCACGGCTCCGTGCACGCGGGGCACAGGCAGGATGGGCTTTCCTGCCAACCAGCCTCAGCCCCACGCGGGGTGGGCAGCAGGGAGGCAGAGCTGCCTGTTGCTCAGGACTGTGAGCCCTGGGCCAGTGTGGGCAGGAGCATCCCTGCCTGCAGCAGCTGCCCGCGCAGGGGGAGCGTCCTTGGGGCACGGGGAGCTGCCTGCAAAAGCTGGGGCAGATTTATGGCACCTCCCAGCCCTGCCAACAGCAAGATGGTTACGGAGATTAAATCACCCATGCAGGGCCCCAGGAAGCTTTCAGAGGCAGGGGCTCTTCCCAGGCAGCACCACTGCACCCCACGCAAGCCAAAGCCTTTGCTGCCGCGTACTGGCAGCCCACCTGGGGGAGGCTCGGCCCCGTGCTGCGCTGGCCGCGCCCTTGGGTGGAGGCTGCAGCCCACTGAGCCCCCCAGTGCCACATCCATCCCCACCCGGGGGGCGCAGGGCTCCCAGAACAGCCTCCACACAGGATTTTGGGGTGAGCCCTCGAGCCATAGGAGGTCTCTCTGAGGCTGTGCCTCTTTACAGCCCCCCGTTAGCCCTCCTGCCTCCAGCACAGGCCCCCGACGCAGATCCGAGCCTGGAGCGGGCCAGGGCCCTTCACGCAGTGGGACACACGGCAGGGCCCTGCTCCCCGCCGGGCCTGGGGGAATGGCAGCACCTCCTCCCTGCTAAGGAGGGGCCCCAGAGGCACTGGGAACCGAGCCCTGCCTGGGGGGCTCCCGCCCGGCTTCCCCCGGGGGGGACAGAGACACAGCAGCAGGGCGAGGGGGCCCCGGCCCAGGGGGTGAGGGGCTGCAGCAGGAGAGAGGGAGAGGGGCTGCGTGCGGGGGGG